TCAGGATAAAACTTTTCACCTTCCGGCTTCAGGACGGAGTGATGTGAAGTAGTGCAGTAATTTCCAATAACTGTATCCAATTCTGAGATTCCTAATGATATTGTTTGGATACCACAATAATTCCAAAGGCATAAACAGTAGAACACATTTAAAAACTTAATTTGGCCCTCACAATACAGATGCAATGTCAGAAAATGCTAGTTTCAATTTCATATCATTCACTTGTTTGGGAAAACACCAGACAGACTAGCATGTAGACTAGGTCATGGCTTGAAGCCTGCCTAGACCATGTGGCCTCTCTCGTGAACATGTCAATACCTAGATCTTCTAAAAGTAATTTTTGTAGGGAATAACAACATTAATAGTACTATTTTTTTGCATTTGTTATCTTTTAGGTGCCGCGCCTTATATATATTATTTGATTTTCTCATCTCAAAGGTTCAGACCTTTGAGATGTTACCATATTCACTGGTGTACAGATGAGGAAAATGCACCAAACATATGTGGACACGTATCCAGAGTCACAAAGTTGGTACCTGTGGGAGCCTGGGTGAGTACTGGGGGCTCAGTGAAAAAATTCTGTGGAAAAGGCAAAATATACTGATGACAATATAGGTCTTCCATTATTAGAGCACTGTAGGGTCAACACCATTTTCACTGTGGTGCATTTACTTATAGTTTTACCCCTACAGCATATACATATACAGATACACATAGAATTTTATGATTATATACAAAAAACTAATTTATACACACATATAACTTTAAATTATATGTACACATACACATATTTCATATAAATGGTCATTTACATATAGACTTGTGTATATAATTTATCTTTACTATGATCTTATGAATATTTTTATATGAAATTTCTAAATAATTAAGCTTACACTTTGACATCTTAAAGAGTGTATTTTTCTTAATAAATTTTATAGGAAATCATTCTTACCATTTTGGAAACCAGCAAACGTGCACAGAAATAAAAATTATTCATCAGTGATGGATAATTTATCATCTCACAACTTTTAACTTATCTTGATTTTATTACTATGTCATTCACATAACTGAGAGCTAACCATATATGCAATTCTTTGCTCTTTCAATTTTCTCAATATTTCCATGTTCTTATTTTCAACCTTATTCCTGAAGTCACCATTTTGGGTAGACACGTAGTATTTCATACTTTGAATGCAACATTACTAGGCTTCACCGTTTTCCCACCACGGTCACCCCCGGGAGGGTAATGTGTAGCTACTACAGCTTCAACCTCATGTGGTTTTGTGTTACTCACAAGTGAGGTTCTACTTTGAGATCCCGACTTCTCAGACTGAAGTGCTCAGGGATCCTGCGTGAACCTTGTGAAATGAGACTGTCATTCAGCAGGCCCGGCTGAGGGTTGATTTTCTGCATTTGTAACAAGCTCGTAGGTGCAGTGGAGGAGGCTGGCCCATGAACCAAATGTTGGGTACCAAAAACTTAGAGTACCCGTCTAAAAATTTCATTATCAAATATGCAGTAAAAGCCCATATAATCACGGCAGTGCCCCGGTACAATGAGCATGAGGCATGCTGCAAGCGCCGTGAGAACTGTATATGTATTATTGACGTTACTCCTTCAGGGTAATATGTTTCCATTTTAAAATAAGGAAAATGAATCAGAGATATGTTATCCAACTTATCCAGACTAGGTTCATATATGGGGAGGGCGGATATGTCATGAAGGGACATTGAAGAAACACTAAGAAATAGGGAAACATATAATAACGATAAATGTCCTCTCAGTGTACATTCTACAGTGGTGACTGATTAACGTTTTCGGTAGAGGGCCAAACGGTAACACGGCGGGGTTTGTGGGTCTCTGTTGCAACAATTCAATCTGCAATGTATTGCAAAAGCCGCTATAGACAATTTGTGAACAATTTGCGAACGTGTGGACAAGGTTGTGTTTCAGTTAAACTTTATTGCAAAACTGGGGGCTACTGGGTATGAACATGGTTCGCTGACTTCCTGTTCCATGGCAACCATTATGCTTAATTGTAGCGTTTTATTTTGTGTTTTTATGGGAGATACAGTATAGTAATATTATTACACGGAAAATTAAAAATATATATCAGTTTAAAGCGTGGCTTATAGGGGCACCCGGATGGCCCAGTGGGTTAAGGGTCTGATCTTTGGTTTGAGCTCAGGTCATGATCTAACAGTTCGTGGGTTCCAGCCCCACATCAGGCTCTGTGCTGACAGTATGGAGTCTGCTCTGGATTCTCTCTCTCTCTCTGCCCCTCCCACTTTCGTGCATGCTCTCTCTCTCTCTCTGTGTGTGTCTCTCAAATAAATTTTTAAAAATGCTAATGTTTATTTATTTTTGAGAGAGAGAGAGAAAGATCAAAAGGGGGAAGAACAGAGAGAGAGGGAGACACAGAACCTGAAGCAGCTCCAGGCTCTGAGTTGTCAGCACAGAGCCTGATGTGGGGCTCAAACTCACGAACTGCAAGGTCATGATCTGAGCTGAAGTCAGATGCTTAATGGACTGAGCCACTCAGACGCCCCTCAAAATAAGTAAATTAAAAAATAAAGTGTATCTTATATATATAGTTATATTCTATATTGTTATATAGTCATCATTATATGTATAAAATGATATATAAACATCATTAAATATATGAAATCAATATAATATT